TGCTCAAACAGAAGCACTCATGAAAGGAAAGACTACTGAAGAAGCCAGAGCAGAACTGGAGAAGGCCAACATGCCTGCTGACAAATTGGAACGTATTCTCCCTCACAAGGTGTTCAAGGGCAACAAGCCAACCAATTCCATTATGGTTGAGAAGCTGACTCCATTCACCCTTGGAGCATTGATTGTTATGTATGAGATGAAAATCTTTACCCAGGGTGTTATTTGGGACATCAACTCTTTTGACCAATGGGGGTAAGTGTTTATTAAGCTGTAAAATTATATATTACCATAAATTACTCAATTGAGAAGTTACTCATGGCCTTGATGGGAAGTCTTTAGAAATAAATTTTTGTATCAAAACTCACAAAATTAATGCAAGAGTAGGCCTAGTGTATTTTTTATTTTTTTTCTTGTTTTCTGAAATTTAGTTTGACACATTATATTATATCCATACCTGGTAGTATTAATTGTTTGTCAGTGTAATTAACTTAGAATTTAGGTCCCATACAATCTTGATTTTTTTTTCTAATGATAGCTCAAGAATTGAAATCGAGTATAAAAGCATGATGACTTATTTGTGGAAAGATCCAAACTTCGAGTCTTAAAGCAATTTGTATTTCTTTTGTCTTATTTTTGTAATTTTTCTTCCTCTAGAGTGGAATTGGGAAAGCAGCTCGCAAAGGCCATTGAACCAGAGCTGCAAGACAAGAACCCTGTGTCCTCCCACGACTCTTCTACTAATGGACTCATCAACTTCATAAAGAAACACCTGTAAATCAGTCTATGTAGAATATAAATAAGCTCTGTGTTCAGTTGTTTACATTGCATGCAAACACTGCATGATGTACTTGTGGATGACTATCATTTGATGTATGACAAGTCAGTAATACAATTGCATTGTTTTAGAATGCCAGTATATTTCCATTTTTTGCAAGAAATCAGTTATTGTTATACTGTGATGTCATTTCGTAAGTGTATTAGGACAGTATATGCATAATAATTGGTAATGTGAGTAGTCGTTACGAACCATTTTGTTCATTTTAGCAAGAAAAGACTGCATTTTAATTCCATGTGACAGACAATAGAGTTGTCTTTGTCAGTAGAATGTTAATTACAAGAGAATATATAAAGAGATGAATTAAAGTATTAATAAAAGTATTATAATTTATTAAATTATGTGAGATGTATACTTTGTGTATTTCACAGCAGATGTATGTATTGTGAAATAAAAGTTTATTTAAAAGTTCTTCCTGTGTACTTATTGGCCAGTAAGTCATGTAAAGCATTAAGATGCTCGGTCAGTACAAAGTGATTGCAAAGAAATGTTCCATAATTGTTCCTTTTGATTACTGTTCAATATAATGAAATTGTTGCCAGATTTACAGCCTTAGTGTGAATATATAAATGAAGCATCCAAATATTAGTGGCAGTGCCATGCTTGTTGAGGGAGGGGGTGAGGCTTAAGAGATGGAGACTGAGGCCAAAGATAGGGGATCACCCCTACATTGGACCTTAGCTCTCACCTCAACTAATTTTACATGGTCTTTTTTTCTTCCCCTTTCCTTTTCCTTATCACCATCCCCTTCTGTCTACTCCCTAAGGTGTGCGAGTCGCGTGAAAGGATTAAAGGAAGGTTTTGTGCCAGTGCTAAGCGGCCTTATGAGCTATGCGCACAGTATTTCCTTGGTTAAGTGCCTGTATGAGATAAAAATCTAACCCTCAAGGTACCCTTATGTGTACCCTGAGGGGTAGATTGCATCTTTTCCCTATTCATTTCAGTCTCACCATGGCCAATGAAGGATTTTTTACCCTTATTAGGTGCATTAAGGCTTGCCCCTTCATCAACTAGCCTATCTATCTAAATTTGATTTCACTGGGTTCCTGACCCCTGCCTCTCCTTTGATTACGGCTCCGACCACCGATACTAACACCATCACTCCTATGTTTGTTGTCAACTCTATCCATTCCGAATCATCCAACCAGGTCATTACTTCCTCTACTCCATCTCCTACTGCCCTGTCTTCATTGTCTACCCCCCCTCTCAAGACTACTCTTCATACTTATTGTCCTCCCCTCACAGTACTACTTTTTTCACAGTACTATCTCACTCCACACAACCCCGTCTTCCTCCCGCCCTCGTCCTTCTTTTGCTTCTACCTCTGCAAACCTTCTGAGTACTCTTTGGCGCATCCAAGGCAAGGCAAAGCTCGTGCATTATCTATCCCGACTGACTTCACTGACAAACCTATTGCTGCCCAACCTCACTCCTCTCATAATGCTTGTAACGGAACTATTTCCGTTTCCCCGACTGATTGTCCTGTCTACGACAAAGAGTGGTTAGACTGAAAATGACCTGCTCAGCTGCCTTGTCGACTATGATGCACTGTGCTACACTAATCCTCCCAGAGGCCATCGTAAGTCCTACACCAATATTGCCAAGATTAGCTCCCGTAGACATGACCTCCTCAATTAGGTTTATATCGGTGACTCGAGTGTCCTACCGTGTCCGACCATATAGATTCCCCCTTCAATGTCAGAATTGTTGGCGTTTTTTCTGCCTAGCAAGAGATGCATTCTAATGTCCCGTTCAATTGCTCTGCTCAGTCACGCACTTGTGCAATTGTGGTGCCCTTTGATATATTTATTTTTTAGCTCCCTTCAATTGCTCTGCTCAGTCACGCACTTGTGCCAATTGTGGTGGCTCCCTTGATATATTTTATTGGAGCTCCCCTACCTGCAAGCTCGAATCTGAGATAGCAGTTCTCAGATTCAAATTAGGCCTCGCTGTACGTAAGGCCTGACAGGAAACATACCAATGAGATTTTTCTCTCTACCTATTCCAAAGCTGCCATTCGCTCCACTCCCCTCCCATTGTCTCAAGATGTCTCGGCATCTCCCCCAGTATCTCTTCCCTCTATCCCTTATCATCCTACTTCTATTCTACCTTAGTCAAATTCCTTTCCCACTCTAAATCCAACTACTCCAATCTCTACCACTTCCCCGATGCCTACCCCTCCACTTTCTCACGCTATCTGTTGCACCAGGCAATCTAAACGTCCCATCCCATCTTCTACCACATCCTCTCATACACCTGCCTCTTCTGCTCCTCGAACATCTATCCCCACTTCTCCCCCTCACAAGAAAATATTTGTCTCTCAGACCTCCCCACCCATCTCCCCTCCAGAAAATCTCCTAAAACGTCCTAAACATGACCCAAAAAGGCTCCAGTCCCTCATCCACCGTGCAATTCCTCTATTCATAATCTCTTTACATACAAAGTATTTGCCTATATCCATTCTCTTTCACCTCAAGTTCCCCCTACCCCTCTTCTTTTCACTCTCCCCAAAACACCCCATCTTCTCCACACCCATGTGCACTAAGATACCCTCTTTATAACGTGCCATATACATATTATTCGTGTTATATTTTCTATTAGTCCAAACCACGTGGTCACATGCTGTAAGTCGTGATTTGATGTAGACGTTATGCCTCGCTTGTGACAAACCCAATTCACGCTCCCATAACTGTCGCCTGCCAGGGTCAGATATAAAACGACCCAGTTTAACATTTATTGAACCTTTGGAATAGTACAGTGGTAACGTGTCGGCCTCTCATCCGAGGGGGTCGGCGGTTCGCGCCCCGCCCAGGCGCGAGAAGTTGCAATTGTCGCCCGGAGGTTGGCGCTGTGGCTGGTGGGTAAGTGGGTAAGGACTTGTAATGGACGTGATTTACCCCCACTATTTTTGCGAGTCCAGACTAGGCGAGTCCCCCCCCCCTGATGACAGCATAGCACCTCCAGTTCAGCACCATCTGTGGACATTCTCGGCAGCCACCTGGAGCATTTTTATTTGCTTTGGTTTATTTTACATATTTTAGCTTTTAACGGCCTCGGGTATATTCTAACTTTAAATGGTTAAATCAGTTTCATTCTTTTTATCTCTTTTAAATATGCTATGTTTTCTTTGTTTATTTTACATCTTTATTATGTCATATCTAAGCTGCAACATGCGAATTACAAAACTGAATTCACGTAAAATATTCAATATACACCAACAAACAATCGCTGATAATCATCACCTGTAAAATCTGTCCAATATGTAAATCATTCAACGTGCCGGCATCTAAAATTACTTAAGTATCTGCTCATTTGCTAACGTTTTCTATAATTTCCCTCCCACCCTACCATGCTCTAATCCCCCCCCCCCGCTCTCGCTTACTCCTAGTGACGCCATAGGTCTTATCACCCAAAGCTGCCCAGGACTCCGAAGTGACGAAACCTGTACTTGTATAGACCTTGACACAGGCTGGGCTCCCCTTATAGCCCGGGCGAGGTTCAGCTTCGCTTATCGGATTTATCCTTATCCTTATTACCTATCCTGCACTCAGTCTCACACCTTTTACTATACTGTCAGAGAGCGACCCTGCATAGCGCTGACCAGCCTCCTGTCGTGTTCTATTCTACTTGAGTGTAAACTCTTAGTAATAAAGAGTTAAGCCGTAATAGTAGTATCACTTTTGCTAACCAGTATCGGCATAGATCAATACCCATTATCCTCTTCTTTCCCCATTATCCTTACCACTCTCACCTGGATGCTCACGTGAATCCCTTATGGCGCAATGGTGTCCTTATAAACAAGTTCTATATAAGTACTTGTGTAGACCTTGCTTATGTATACATATATGTGTGTATATATACCTATATACATACATACATACATACTCACATACATACATATATATATATATATATATATATATATATATATATATATATATATATATATATATATGTGTGTGTGTGTGTGTGTGTGTGTGTGTGTGTGTATATGTATATGTAAATGTATAATTGTATACAACAGTCCAAGGCTTCCGTAAAAAATAGAATAGTTTGCCATATACCCAATCTTATTCTCATTTTCTATTATAAATATTTAATTCCGGCACCACTAGATGGCAGTAAAGTGTGATGAATATAGGGCCGAAGTTGCTTTTCTGTTATGTTTCCTTCACATGTTCGGTCCTCGCCGCTACGTAAACATTGTGTGAGGAGAGCCGGGGAATCAGGCATTATGCAAGCTTCTAAATTTCTTGTAGGGACCAATTACACAGCACTGACATGCTGCTTGAGGTAGGATCGATGCCGAGAGCTTGAATTTCGTGATTTTAAGTACATATCAGAATTGATACCATTTGTATTTTTATATGTTGGTCAAGCGAAAAGTTCAATACATCATAATGTATAAACAAGCGGTAATTATTTGTCTGTGGAAATAAGACACTGAGAAGATGCAGAATTTCTCCTGTAGTTCGATGTGGTTACAACAAATGCAGGAATAATTTAGGAATCATTTGCTAAACCGTAGGTTTACGAGGTAGTTCCCGCACCCTCCTAAGCTCATCCAATGGGCTTGGGAACCTGTCTCTCTGGGAAATTAGTGTTTTATGTAGGTGAAAAAAAGGTAATTTGGCAATTCTTTCTATTGTGTCCACATAATGGATCGTGATGATTTCAGTAGCGTTGGATTTCTCTCACCATCTACAATGTAGATATGGAGGCTTTATTTTGTGGAAGACCCCAACCCCCACATTCTTGGTTCGATAGCAGTTACTATATTGTCTAATGTTGGAGGCTATCCCTCCTGCAATCTCCCCATGGGGGCTACAACCCCCAACCCCCAGTCCTGCATGGTGGTCGTATGCTCTCTCCTGCAGAGAATGTGGAGGATTCTTTGTTTTCCTGGGATGGGTTTGGAGGTAGCAGGGGGCACAGTCCCCTACATTAGACAATATAGTGACTAATTCTGTGTATATTATTTACATTTTACCCGTAATTTCACTGGTAGATTTCATGTTCACCCCTGCTATCAGGGCCAAGAATTAGAGGGTTTGTGGGGTTTCTGTGCACTAATTTCTATGTATTTGGAAACTAGAGAGTGAGAGGAATCCAACAATACCAAAATCATCACAATCCATTATGCGGACGTATTAGAAAAATTACCAGTGATTTTTTCTAATAGTTACACTTAACAGATCATGATTGATCGTTGTATTCCTTGCACTGTCTAGTTTCCACGGAAACCTTCTGCCCAGGAAAACAAGGAATCTTCCACATATTCATGGCAGGAGAGAGAGTACTACTGCCATGCAGGAGTTGCTTTGCCAAGTCTGTCCAATGCTCTCTCCCACTGTGAATACATGGAGGATTTTTTTTTTTGGGGGGGGGGGGTTAGGGCAGCAGCCCCCCCATAGGGGGTTGCAGGGGGCTGTGCCTCCTTCATTATACAATACAGTTGACTAATTCTGTGTATATTATTTACATTTTACCCTTCAATTTTCTAGGGACATTTCATGCCCTCCCCTGCTATTGGGGCTGAGAATTTTAGGGTTGGGCGGGTTGCCGCACAATAAAACCTACTTATTTTGCTTTTGACTTCTACGCAATGTAAATTGGTGATTTTACAGAATTGATCCGCATAAAAGATCACTACAATTTTGGTATTGATGGATTCTTTTCACTCTATCCCCAGCCCCCACATTCTAGGCCCCAATAGTGGGTGAGGGCATGGCATAAAAGTAAATTGTAGGGTAAAATATGAAAAATTACACAGAATCAGTCACTATATTGTCCAATGCAGGGGGCTGTGACTCCTGTGACCCTGTTGTATGCTCTACCCTGCTGTGAATATGTGGAGGATTCTTTGTCTTTAATTGCAGGGGTTGGGGGATGGCATCCCACAAGAGGGGGTTGTAGGGGGCAGAGTCCCCTTCTTTAGACAATATTGTGACTGATTTTGTGTATATTATTCATATTTTATGCCACATTTTCCCTGGTACCTTATATCCCCTCCCTTGCTATCAGGGCCAATGCCAATGGGGGTTTTCTGCTGCATGATTTTAATATAATAGTAGAGAGTAAAAAGAATCCATCAATACCAAAATCATTGTGACCTGTTAAGTGGAGGTATTCTGTAAATTTACCACATTATGAAATAGCCCTTGTTCAGGTCAGTTGATTTCAGGCTAATAGAGCATCCAGGAATCATTTTGATCTATTAGATAGCTTGTCAATAGATGAGTGCATATCTGTTTGAATAAAAACACATCTGTCAGTTATTTACCTGTGATGGATGAAGGTCAAAAGAGATTTTGGGTATCACAATCTATATCCAATAACTGTATTATTTTCAATTTGCACAATAACTGTCATAGAAGAAAAATTGTCTTCTTAAGACTTCATCAAATTAACAATACCATATCTGTCAATCATGTGATATCATTGTCATATACACTAAAACCTCACCAGATAAGGAACTAGTCTAAGCACTATTTTGTCAGAATATGTGTGTTGGATGTTAGTTCTCATTTACTTCTCACTCAATCCCTTGCTCACTATTGTTGTGGGGGCTTAGTGAGACGGAGACTAGGCCCTTGCCTCAGCTAATTTTGCTTGGTCTTTTCTTCTCCCCCTTTCCGTTTCTCTCTCTTCATCCCCTTCTTCTGTCCACTTCATTAGGTATGAGAAATGTGCTGAAATGATGGTAGGCCACCTTTGTGTTAGTCATGAACAGCTCCGGAGCCATGGGCACGGTATTCCCTTGGTTAATCGCCTAGCCCTTACCCCGTATTGGGACCTTGAGAGGTAGACGGTTTCTTTTCCCCACTTATTTCAGGCTCACCATGGCTAATAATGAAGATTTTTACCTCTATTAAGGGCATTAATGCTTGCCCTCTTCAACTAGCCTATCTAATTTGATTATTTTGTTTCCCGACCTGCTCCTTTGACCATGGCTCCTCTCTCAATGTTTGCTGTCAACTCTATCCATTCCAAATCTTCCACCCAGGTCATTACTCGGGACATGATTTTATATCCTCCTTAGCTATATTAACTTTATGAAGCACATGCAGCAACCCTGTAATTTTGGGTGGGTACATTTGTTTGAAAATTTATCTTATTTGATCACACGTGGTAGTAAAAATAAGTGTATTATCATTAGCACTATACAGTGCATGAACTAGATACTATCTCAGTGTTTGAACAGATGAATGAAATCTCATTTTCTGCAGTTTTTGAGATCTGCCCAAATATAAATACCAGGACATTTGTTAGTGTGGCTGAGAATTGAAAGTATTGTCTTATCTTACAAGTCTGTAACATGATCTAACAGACATTTGCTTAAAGAGAATGAATATCATTTACAGGCGTAACATATGCCTGTTATGAATATGAGTGCAGTATTAAATTAAGGAAAGGAAAAAGTATTTAGAATATCAAAAGTATCATCATCTCGAGAATCATTAATTTCTATGCTTCTCTTCCTAATTTCTCTTTCTGCCATCAATTCATATCACTTGCTGCCATATTCCTCTATATTTATTTCGATATTCACACTTTAGTGAATTTTATTCATATTTGTGATTGTCTTGATATATCATTGCCATCTTTATTATCATTCAGGTTCTGTATATTGCAGACAAAAATTATGGAAGCAATCTGCTGTATATGGATCAAAATGTCAACGTCGCTTCCAGAGTGCCGAGGCACTGTCTGTCCCAACTGCAGAAGGGGCACCCAAGGTATTTGATGTTGCTAGAATGTTTGTGAAATGTTTATTATATTTGATGATCCTTTATTCTTTTGTCTTCCTTTTTAAATATATATATATATTGAAAACTTCTTTATTAGGTAAATTTTACTATATTTTTTTCTTTCACAGGTTTACCCTGAAAAGATTCAATCAATTGTGTCCCAGATCTCCCAGCTAACACTTGTGGAGGTAGCAGATTTGAATGAATTGCTGAAGAAGACTCTAAACATTTCTGATGCCCCAGTGATGGCTTTTGGTGCTGGAATGCCAGCAGCAGCTCCAGCACAGGTAATGGCATTTACTTTGTTTGGTCTTTCATTTGTTTATATACTTATTACAAGTTACTACTCTACCAAATGTTTGCTATTAACAATTGCCCCAGAAAAATTTTTTTTGCTATTAGTGTCTTTAGTACCTTCTAAAGAATAAAATGTGAATATGTTTTAGGAATATGTACTTGAGTGGGAAAATGTGTTTGCAGAAGTAATTGTGATTTTTATTTGATATATTACACTCATCTGATAACTTAATCATCTCAATAATCTTGACATAACAGGAGGAAGAGGATGAAGAGGCAGCAGCTCCAAAGAAAGTTCAGACAAGTTTCACTATCAAGATGATGAAGTTCGATACTGCAAAGAAGGTAGCACTGATCAAGGAAGTCAAGGCCTTGCTTGATGGCATGAACCTTGTCCAGGTATGTAAGATATGGACAGGATTTTTGGGAATAGTCTTTAGAATCCACTTGTACAATGTGTTTGTTCGTACTTTTTGGCAATATTTTTGTTTGAATAAATTTTGATTTGCGCTATACATTTTTAAACATTTTATGTTTACAGGCAAAGAAGTTCGTTGAAAGCTGTCCTACAGTTGTGAAAGCTGACATTCCTAAGGATGAAGCTGAAAAGCTGAAAGAAGCCCTTTCAGCAGTTGGTGCTGAGTGTGTAATTGAATAGAATATTTGTTTGTTCATAATTTGAAGACAAAGATCAGTCATTGGAAAATTAATACTTCTTGTTTGTGGAATGACTCATGTAAATAGGCAGTATGATACCTGTATTGAAAGAAATATGATTGTATGTTTTTTTTTTGTTAACATAATTAGCTTTCAATAAAATAATGAAAGTTGATAATATTTATTAACCTGTTCAGGCATTAAGGCATTAAAGACATTTAAAGACTAGGAAACAGTGTCTATACATTTATCCTTCATTAAGAAGTTTTATTTAAAGTTCAATGAAGTTAACATTGCTTAGCAATGTACAGGTCCAAGTACTTTGGAGATCACATTGACAACAAGTCACTTCCTTCCTTGACATTAATCTTTGCTGCAGAAAATATTCATACCTGTTTGGCTGAAAACCGAAACAACCTTGTTTTGCTGTTTTACTTTACTTCTTCACTATAACTTGAGCTACTACTACCCCTCAATCCTATGCCTGTTGCTATCATGTGATTCCCCCTACCTACACAGCAAAGCAGACGCCCCACACTGGCGCCTCAATCCTATGCCTGGCTTGGACTATCATGGTGAGGTTCCCCCTACTTCTGATACGATAAGTCCGTATGTGCCCAATCCCGGTCCATGATTGTTCAATGAAGTACTGTGGGCTGGGAAGACTCCAAGCCAAAAGCACTCTGCCAAACTGTGGTGCTTCCCATAATCTTTATTTCTTGGGCCCACAATGTAACGCGAGGCCAGACGGGTACCGCGGAAAGCATGCAAGATAATGTTTTTCCTCTTACCCTTCTCATACTAGACCGAAAGGCTGGCCGCGGATTCGCGCGACTTCATCCTGCTGCTCGCATTGTCGTCCCCACCTCTTCATTCTCAAGGATGGTGTTCACATGCGCGCAACGCCTGCTCGAAACTCCCCCTAATCTATTCCTCTCTCCATCGTGCCTTACTTTCAATTTTATGTACTGCCGTCCTCTTCTTTCCACTTTACCGTCTTGCTCTACCCCCTACGCCTCCGGAGGCCCAATCATAGAGACCTTTGTGTCCTCTGGGCCAAAAAAAACATCCACTCCTCCTCAACACATTCAAACTGATCTAATTCATAACCCACCAACGATGATCCTTACAACACCGTTCCATCAACGAACGATCTTCGCTTATATCCAAAAACAATGCAGGCAGAGGCCACTTTCCGTAATCCCGATCAGATCTCCCATCCCCTACGTCCACATGCGAAGCTCGAAGCTTATACCGTGCACTAATGAAAATCTAACTGATCCTCTCTGGCCAACGGCCCCATCCTCCAGAACCGACAGTCAATCCGAAACTATGAATAACTAACAACACTCACTACATTGTACACAGCAGCGCGATACCAGATCGGTAAC